AGGGTTGAGCCACTGTTCAAATTATAACCTTGTTAGTCCGTGTTTCACGGTTTGGGAAAAGCTGCTCAACTGAATTGAGCGTCTGTATTTATAGACTTTTTGGCGTGTTAAATTTTCCAGAATGAAATTTCGCCCGCCGCTAAAACATTCTCAAGTACTCGGCAACGGAATTAGTTAATCCAATTACAGCGTTCCGTTATAAACACAGCACAGTCAGGCTCATACGCAGTCAGATAAGATAGATCCGTCAAGGGATCCGTTAAAATGTTATTGTTCTTTTATAGAATAACCAATGAACCTTAAATTATCGCGCACATTTCTATAAAATAGTCACTCCTTTTCCAAAAGATGATTATGGTAGTTTAGTTTGCATTTACTGTAATTTTCTCGGCATTTGGCCTGATATGGAACTTAAATTTCCGCTGAATCCGTCAGCTAGAAAATGTTAATAACCACACATCATTGTGTTCTAGTGACACTTCTTTCTAGTGTATACTTTCTGCATTTATTGTAATGGAATAATAGTTTCAGGTATATTTCTACATATCTGATCGTTATTATTGTTATTTTTCTTTTGGTCAGTTGAGTAATCTACGCTTTTCAATTGTCAGGTTATTTAGCGACCCGGATCATGTTCACATAGTTCTGAACGATATTTCAATGGTTCTTTAACTCGAATCATTGAATATTTATACTGTTTACTGTAAGAAATTTAGTTGATAAACAACCACACAAATCATGGGAATGACAGATCAGAATTCAAGTAAAGGTAATATCTCACCACACTGTCAATTTGTTTACATGTCTATCCATAACAATACGAACAGACGGAGGGACGTTTGCAGGACTACAAGATACAAGAAACTTTATTTTAAGTCGGTACATATTACAAGAAACATTAGCTAATAAGCTATTTACCGACAATAAAAAAACAGCTGTAAAATATACTCAGCATACCCTTCATTTGCAACCCATAGTCAGCTAGAAATATTAAACAATAAATTGTCTCGGACAAACAGACAGACGGACATACAGACAGACGGACAAATTGACAGACGGATAAACAGACAGACGGACGAACAGACAGACGGACGAAGAGACAGACGGACATACAGGCAGACGGACGTTCAAACAGGAGAGTAATTATGTGGCTACTCTATTGTTCTCTCTATTGTTCTTTTTAGCCACACAAAAGAAAATAGCCACATAAAAGCATTACGGAATGAATGACATCAAAGAGAAAGAAACAGTTACCTATTGTCCCTCTAGCCACATAATTACTCTCCTGTGAGTGCGGAACATACAGACAGACGGACAAACAGACAAACGGACAAACAGACAGACGGACATACAGGCAGACGGACATACAGACAAAAGGACACACAGACAGACGTACATACAGACAGCCGGATATACAAACAGACGGACAAACATACAGACGGACAAACAGACAGACGGACATACAGACAGACGAACATACAGACAGACAGACATACAGGCGATTGCAGGACTTAAAATATACAAATTAGTTTTAGTGCCGACATGTCCATATCATATGATACTGTGTTGATATATAGAACATAATCAGATTTGATTGTTAAGCAGTATGATGTAGATGTAGATGTAGATGTATATAGTCAAATACATAATAAATTATTACAATAATGCAGCATTCTATTAAGAATAAAGACATAATACTTACCTTTGATTGTTATAGTAGCCCAATTTTCTTTCCAGGCAGTACTTTGGATAAAACGTTTCCGTATTTCTCTTTAGGCCATATTTTGATATTTGTTTATAATCTTAGGTAAATTATTTGTAAACTTTTGCCCAGAAGACCTGCTTATCTATTTCTGAGCCATTCTGAATTTTAAATGAAAATCTTAATCTCACAATAATATATACATGTTTATGATCAGTTATGCCCAACTTAATCCTCGAAAATACTGACAATCGCTCAACCATTGATAGATCCTCACTCTGACATTTAATTTGAATAACAATAAATGTACCCACATATACCATGTGCTCTTTTGTTAACAAACCTGATGTGGTGAAATTGTTATTGTATAATTAGAATTAGACAGGTCAGGGATCAATGCATTTTAAACGGTCAGTCTATATTTAATCACTACTAATAAACCGATGACATGGCTAAACACACATATTAACATTTTCTGTTGTTGTATTTTTTATCAGAAAGACATATTTAAACAAACGAAAGTCCGTTATGAGGTCAATCTGTGGCACGTGCACAGATATAATCTACTCGGACAGACCCGGTCATGTAAAAAAAATACGTGAAAATAGAAACAAAGAAAACATTAATTGTAACCAGAAATTTAAAACGAAAAAAAAAATGTAAAAATGATTTTCATTAGTATACATGTCATGAAAAATCTGAAGACAACTTTTTAATCAAAGATAATGTTTATTGAATGCACTATGCAATTATTCCAACATCCCTTTATTAAATCTTTAAAACAAAATAGTGGACAGCATATTAAAGTTAAGACACGTGACTTATTCAATCGCGTAATTGGAGAGGTCATCAGACCTCTCCATAGTGTTCAGACTGATTGCTGGCGGCATCCATTTTTGCGTATCTGATTGTAGTGAATGAATCTCATTTTAACCGTAGAATCATTAGGAGCAGTCTACAAAAAATGTTTTGCGCATGCCCCGTTTCAAAATACGGCTTAACTTAAACGAGAAATTAACATCGAAGTGAACAAATCGGTACATAGAAAAATCGGAAAATATCATTTACGTTACTTAGCACTACGTGGATGTTTCATTCCGTTTAACCTTTTAAACTGTATAAATCGATTACCGTATTGTTTTCTGAATAACGTTTTACTATTTCATGTTCCGATAAATAGTAATAGTGAACATTATAGCTACAATATCACCATGCACTATTATATGACCGAGTGAACCGTGTATTGAACCGGTATGACTAAATAACGCAACGGAGATTTTTTGGCGCAAATGGCACAAATTTTACCTCAAGTTTGATTTCTTCTAATATTGTGGTTGGAGGCATGCAGCTTTAAATACTGTTTATTCCAATAAACAGTATATAACAGTATATACTGTTTATTCCAATCAAATGATATAAACATATTTTATGTAAACCCTGGACTTAAAATTGTTTGATTAACATACTTTATACTCGTTTTGTAAAATGTAGAGGAAATGTTTCCTTATACTTAACAAAACAGTAACCGAAATTTTTCTTATTCTCCCTCGCCGAAAGGCGGCGGGGATATAGAAATAGTCTCCGTCCGTCCGTCCGTCCTTCCGTCATTCCGTCCTTTCGTCCGTCCTTTCGTCCGACATTTTTGTCCGGAGCATATCTCAAAAAGTATTTGAGATATCAACATGAAACTTCATAGGTGGATATATCTCACTCAGGAGGTGTGCAGTGCACAAGAATAATAACTCTACCTTTCATAATTATTGAGTTATTGTCCTTTGTTATTTTTCATACTTAATTTTTCATTTGAGTGACTCATAACTCAAAAAGTTTTTGAGATGTCAACATGAAACTTCATAGGTGGATAGATCTTATTGAGGAGGAATGCTGAGCACAAGAAAGATAACTCTTCCCATTATAATTTTTGAGTTATTGCTCTTTGATATTTTTCATACTTTTTGTCCGGAGCATATCTTAAAAAGTGTTTGAGTTATCAACTTGAAACTTCATAGGTGGATAGATCAAACTAGGGAGGAGTGCAGTGCATAAGAATGATAACTCTACCCTGCATAATTTTTCAGTTATTGCCCTTTGTTATTTTTCAAACTTAATTTTTGTCCAGAGCATAACTCAAAATGCTTATGAGATATCAACATGAAACTTCATAGGTGGATAGATCTCACTCAGGAGGTGTGCAGTGCACAAGAATGATAACTCTACCTTTCATAATTTTTGAGTTATTGCCCTTTGTTATTTTTCATACTTAATTTTTCACCTGAGTGGAGCATAACTCAGAGTCTTTGAGATGTCAACATGAAACTTCATAGGTGGATAGATCTTATTGAGGAGGAATGCTGTGCACAAGAACGATAACTCTTCCCATTATAATTTTTGAGTTATTGCCCTTTGTTATTTTTCATACTTTTTGTCCGGAGCTTATCTCAAAAAGTGTTAGAGGTATCAACTTGAAACTTCATAGGTGGATAGATCTCATTGAGGAGGAGTGCAGCACACAAGAATGATAACTCTACCCTGCATAATTTTTCAGTTATTGCCCTTTGTTATTTTTCATGCTTAATTTTTGTCCAGAGCATTACTATAAAAGCCTTTGAGATATCAACATGAAACTTCATAGGTGGATAGGTCTCATTGAGGAGGAGTGCAGCACACAAGAATGACAACTCTACCCTGCATGATTTTTCAGTTATTGCCCTTTGTTATTTTTCATGCTTAATTTTTGTCCAGAGCATAACTATAAAAGCCTTTGAGATATCAACTTGAAACTTCATAGGTGGATAGATCTCATTGAGGAGGAGTGCAGCACACAAGAATGATAACTTACCCTGCATTATTTTTCAGTTATTGCCCTTTGTTATTTTCAGCTATCAGTATTCACATAGGTTTCAAATCTGTAATCACTTCAGCCATCAGTTTTCATTACCAAAAGACCTCTTAAAATTGAATTATTCTGCTCTACTACATATATATTCTTCCAATGAGCAAACACATTCGGCGAGGGATGGCCATGTTGACATGGCTCTTGTTGAACTTTACAAGAAACTTTTATTTTGATACTACTTTTAATAAATATATACTTTTTCTACAAAGGGAACTAAATTTAAAATACAAATGTAAATGATATGTATCATATAATTTACATTTAGTAATTTTACATTTTATGCAGAAAAAGTATCCCTAATGCGCCACAAAAAAAGTCCATTTCTTCGGCATATAATCTATCAAAACATTAAAAAAGATGAAGTGTAAGACAATCTTTCATTGCAATATATATAATAAATATTATTTTGTTAAATAATTGTAATTTATAATCATTCATTGTGTCTTTTATGCCATATAATATCCCCAAATATTTTCGAATTAAACAAATCTTCCACAGCAGCAAAAATACCTCTCGCATGCTTCTTTTTAAAGAAGCAAACTTTGTTTTTTAAAGCGGTTATTCTGACATTAAGGTTTGACTATCGTAATGAAATACCTCCGCTCGAAGAGTATTCAAGTGGGTTAATACTACTGACAACTACAATGAAACTTAGGGCCGTGGGTTTAAACCCCAAAAGGGTCAACTTGTGTGAAGGCAGTGGTTACTGACCGTAGCGTAAGTGGTGTAACACAAGTTTACGCAGAAAACATCTTTATTCATTATGGAAGATGCCATGTACTACGAGTCACTGTTTAAATTTTTATTGATTTCCATTATAAACAATTTATTTTTTGTTGTTGAAAAAAAAATGCACTAGATATTAAAGGAACATTAATAATTTTCAAACACAGATCAAGTATTTTCATCTTAAATGGTCTAATAATGACAGAAAAATAGAAATATCATGTAAAAGTGCTATGTACTTCATGTACTTTATTTGAAGTAATTCCCCAGAGCTAAATCAGTAACGTACCGGAAAACGGTGTTTAGCTATGTTTTCGAAAAGGTCAAATTATTCTTAAAAATAAAATAAACAGAAGATGGATAGATGGTCGAATGAATGAATGAGTGAGTGAGTGCATGCATGCATGAGTGAGTGAGTGAATGAAAGACGTACTTGAAGGTAAAGAAAAATAAAATGAACCGTATTAATATCTATGTATAAATACATATTTTGTGTTTGATTGGAAAATGATATGCTCCTTGGAAAAAGACAGAGTTCATTAAGTACAGAGTAGATCTACTACTGCACGGGTATAAACAACTCCATATTTTAATTTTTTATGTTTCATACAGATGGAGGTGGCTAGTGAGGAGTTATTGTAGAATAATTAAACATTGTAAAATCGAATTTGTATATTTCAATAATTTGTGTCAAAGTTTCATTTCTTATTTGCTTGTATGCGTCTACTAACGCTTTATGACGTCGTCGTTTCATTTCTGATGACGTCATTTTATTTCTATTTATAGAAGCGAGTATAACCTCTGTGACGTATGATGTGTCGTCATATTGTAATTTACTATTAAACAATTTGCTCGGAAATTCTATTGTTTCTTTCAAGTAGCCTTGTATTTTAAAAGCGGTCCATATTCTTTGTATTAATTTTTGGCCATATACGCAGGTTCCCTTTTTCGTTATCTTATTTTTATTCATCACTGTTTGAACAATTCCTGGAATAGTTGTTTCAATTCTGTGTTCATGTAACGCTGATAGAATCGTGGCAAGCTTTTCATCAGGTACACTGAACGCTTTCAATGCCTGCTCTACGTCTTTTGAAAAGCTTTCTTGTTTTACAAGTATATAAGCGTTTACATCACACGGACGACATAGATTATAAATCGGTGCCCAGTGCCGATTTAATGTCTGCTCCCTCCCTACTTCATTAATTATGAAATCAAGAAATTCCTGAAATGTGACGTCATCGGGACAATTATGACGTTTCAACGCCGGTCTAAATTGCATGATGTTTTTATTCAAGCTTTTATCAAGGCATTGATACGATTTATCTATGAACGCTGAAAACAGACGACTGAACGGGTCACGTGACACGATGACAGACAAAGAATTCTTTCTCTGTTGACTGTCAAATTTTAGAGTAAATTTCCAAGTCAAGCCATGGACACGTGACCTTGCTTTAGAAAACACAGTCACTGAATTCTCATCTTCATTTTCAAGAATGTAAAATGCTTGCATCCAGAAAGTCGATCCTGATTTTGGAACCTTGCAATATGAAAATCCGTAAGTTTTAGAGTAGTAGTACCTTGTATTATTTTTACCTTTGTACATAAGGTCCCGAAATAAATCTGTGTCTCTACAAACTGTTTTAATTTTATTTATTCTTTGTTTTTGAACTGTTGGATACATTTGTCTTAAAAGAGCTACTGCTCCCGTTTTGTTGTTTACACTTTCCTTTAAATTATTTGAACCATTTGGCGTTTTCTTATTACTCTGCTCGTGCAGTTTTTGAATTATATGTGTCAACATTGCCTCGGGAAATTGATCTGTTGTTGACGATGCTCTTGTAGTTGTTGTTGTTGCTGTTGTTGTTGTTGTTGTTGTTTCTAGTGTACTTGATACTTTAATCTCTTTTGAATTACGAGAAACATTGGTGCTGCTTTTACGAAAACCTTTGAAGTTGGAGCCTGAAGTGCAAATATATATTGTTTTGTATAATTAATGTTCTACTAAAATTCATATTAAGGATTAAAAGATAAACATTTGACAAGCACATGTTTTATAAAACAATACTCTATTTTTTTTAACTGTTACACTGCACTACTGTTATTTTATATATACATATATACATCATGTTATGCACATACTTATATAGATCTATGTATATGCAGTGTGTTTCCTTTTCCAACATGTTACAAGCAAATGTTATAATTAGAATACTAATTGGATCTTCATGACACCTTGGTAGCAATCCCAAGCTGCCTCTTGATATAAGCTACCTACACACTAAGTTTGGTGTCAATAGGCCAAAGCAAACTAAAGTAATTGAGCAGAAACCAAAAGTTGACGCCCGCCCGCCAGCCCGCCTGCCCGCACGCCGGCTTCCGCATTACAATAACCCGGTTTTCGTTAAAAACCTGATTAAAAATGTTATAAAGAAATTGAAAGAAGTAAGGAAATAAGGTTGTTTTTGTTTGAATCTATTTCTGTAACTCATAAATAATGGAGATATATGTAAGAAGCTTAACTCTTAAAAGTTGTTGCAAATAAAATAAGTACTGAATTGATTAGTATTATTGAAATTCATTAGAACAAATTTTGTAAAATGATATTTATACCTTTCACATTACTTCATACCTTTCACATGATTTTTTTATCTGCAGTCAAAAAATATATATTTTTTTAAAGTAAAAAAATACAAAAAAAAAACGGACAATGGAAAAACGCATTTTATTTTATCCATATTTCATTTATAAGTATATAGTAAATTAACACATATTGAAAATTAAACACACAAAAAATAAACATTAAAAAAAGCATGGAAATATAAAGATTTAACCTGAAGTGAAATAAAAAGTTCCATTGTTTTCCAAGGACAGGCACAATACGAATGTTATACCAATCGCAATACAAATAAACACCAAGTAACACACCTTCATGTTTCCAAATACAGGATCCCTATAACAGTTTCTACCCTATAGCAGTAAACATAAATACTTAATCTTGACTATTGGTATGCGTGCAGAGTAACATTAAACTATTTATATCCGTGCGAATTCTGTAAATAATATATCAATGAGGTATTTATATGTCAAGAATGTCGCGTGATTATATTTTTTAAACTAAGCAATTGCTTCTATTGACCGTCGATCAGTGCGGCAAAATCAGATCAAATGTAATAAAAAAGTTATATGAAAAGCTAAATATAAAAGCTAAATTATTACGGAGTGTCGGCGCTTCCACTCCAAGTATCCTAACACCGGCTCAACCAGTATTCATTCCAAGTACCCTTACACCGGCTCAACCAGTATTCATTTCAAGTACCCTAACACCGGCTCAACCAGTATTCATTTCAAGTACCCTAACACCGGCTCAACCAGTATTCATTCCAAGTACCCTAACACCGGCTCAACCAGTATTCATTCCAAGTACCCTAACACCGGCTCAACCAGTATTCATTCCAAGTACCCTAACACCGGCTCAACCAGTATTCATTCCAAGTACCCTAACACCGGCTCAACCAGTATTCATTTCAAGTACCCTAACACCGGCTCAACCAGTATTCATTTCAAGTACCCTAACACCGGCTCAACCAGTATTCATTCCAAGTACCCTAACACCGGCTCAACCAGTATTCATTCCAAGTACCCTAACACCGGCTCAACCAGTATTCATTTCAAGTACCCTAACACCGGCCCAACCAGTATTCATTTCAAGTACCCTAACACCGGCCCAACCAGTATTCATTCCAAGTACCCTAACACCGGCTCAACCAGTATTCATTCCAAGTACCCTAACACCGGCTCAACCAGTATTCATTCCAAGTACCCTAACACCGGCTCAACCAGTATTCATTCCAAGTACCCTAACACCGGCTCAACCAGTATTCATTCCAAGTACCCTAACACCGGCTCAACCAGTATTCATTCCAAGTACCCTAACACCGGCTCAACTAGTATTCATTCCAAGTACCCTAACACCGACTCAACCAGTATTCATTCCAAGTACCCTAACACCGGCTCAACTAGTATTCATTCCAAGTGCCCTAACACCAGCTCAACAAGTATTCATCCCAAGTACCCTAACACCGGCTCAACCAGTATTCATTCCAAGTACCCTAACACCGGCTCAACCAGTATTCATTCCAAGTACCCTAACACCGGCTCAACTAGTATTCATTCCAAGTACCCTAACACCGACTCAACCAGTATTCATTCCAAGTACCCTAACACCGGCTCAACCAGTATTCTTTCCAAGTACCCTAACACCGGCTCAACCAGTATTCATTCCAAGTACCCTAACACCGGCTCAACCAGTATTCATTCCAAGTACCCTAACACCGGCTCAACTAGTATTCATTCCAAGTACCCTAACACCGACTCAACCAGTATTCATTCCAAGTACCCTAACACCGGCTCAACCAGTATTCATTCCAAGTACCCTTACACCGGCCCAACCAGTATTCATTCCAAGTACCCTAACACCGGCTCAACCAGTATTCTTTCCAAGTACCCTAACACCGGCTCAACCAGTATTCATTCCAAGTACCCTAACACCGCCTCAACCAGTATTCATTCCAAGTACCCTAACACCGGCTCAACTAGTATTCATTCCAAGTACCCTAACCCCGGCTCAACCAGTATTCTTTCCTAGTACCCTAACACCGGCTCAACCAGTATTCATACCAAGTAACATAACACCGGCTCAACCAGTATTCATTCCAAGTACCCTAACACCGGCTCAACCAGTATTCATTCCAAGTACCCTAACACCGGCTCAACCAGTATTCATCCCAAGTAACCTAACACCGGCTCAACCAGTATTCATTCCAATTAACCTAACACCGGCTCAACCAGTATTCATTCCAAGTACCCTTACACCGGCTCAACCAGTATTCATTCCAAATACCCTTACACCGGCTCAACCAGTATTCATTCCAAGTAGCCTAACACCGGCTCAACCAGTATTCATTCCAAGTAGCCTAACCCCGGCTCAACCAGTATTCTTTCCTAGTACCCTAACACCGGCTCAACCAGTATTCATTCCAAGTAGCCTAACACCGCCTCAACCAGTATTCATTCCAAGTAACCTAACCCCGGCTCAACCAGTATTCTTTCCTAGTACCCTAACACCGGCTCAACCAGTATTCATACCAAGTAACATAACACCGGCTCAACCAGTATTCATTCCAAGTACCCTTACACCGGCTCAACCAGTATTCATTCCAAGTGCCCTAACACCGGCTCAACCAGTATTCATTCCAAGTACCCTTACACCGGCTCAACCAGTATTCATTCCAAGTACCCTAACACCGGCTCAACCAGTATTCATTCCAAGTGGCCTAACACCGGCTCAACCAGTATTCATTCAAAGTACCCTAACACCGGCTCAACCAGTATTCATTCCAAGTACCCTTACACCGGCTCAACCAGTATTCATTCCAAGTACCCTAACACCGGCTCAACCAGTATTCATTCCAAGTACCCTAACACCGACTCAACCAGTATTCATTCCAAGTACCCTAACCCCGGCTCAACCAGTATTCATTCCAAGTACCCTAACACCGGCTCAACCAGTATTCATTCCAAGTACCCTTACACCGACTCAACCAGTATTCATCCTAAGTAAATTATTTCCAATTTCGGAATCAACTATTCTAGTGGAGCAGAAAAATTAACACTGAAATGAAAAAAAAAATTGACCGCACTGATTATATTCTAATATTATTTTTCTTGGGACGTTAATCTTTAGTTTAATGGTACATTGTATTTATTTATTCTATTATTTCGACCAGTGCAGATCAAATTCAGTCGGCGCGTCCATGTTGTCTGTACTTGGTATGCACTGTTTTCTATTCAGTCAATAATTTTTCTTCAGTAACAATGATGAATAGTTTTTTGTCCAGATTAAATAACGACAAATCAATGGATAGGTCACGGCCACGTGTCTTTATATAACACCAGTACCAGTTAGTTCCAGGAAGCAGACTCGAGAATGCTTGATTCAAGTTGCAAGAATTTTTAAGTTGAAAGAACTTAAATCGCAATCGAGCTTAAATAAATACTAGTATGTTTAAACCAAAGTCCATTGAAGTATAGCCTGACTAGGGTTAAAATATCATATAGTTCAAGAAATTTAAATTATTCTGAATTTACGAAAGCTTTATTTAATTAATTGAAATATGCTTATTAAAAATAAATGTTTTTAACATTTCGAGAATATTTTCCTCAAGGTAATAATTAATTATAATTAACTTAATTAATGTAGAAATTGAAATATTGAATTTCCTGCTCATTTTCCTTCTTTTTTACAGCTATCAACATTGTGTCTAATACCAAAATTGTTAAAATCAATACAACTTTTTATTCTGGTTACCTTTTTTTATGAAAATTTAGAAACTGTAAGCAAAAGTCGATGCTAGTTGGTGTGGACAGTAAGAAACATTAACATGAACTGTCTTAATCAGACTGAACGTGCAATTTTTGATATTGATAAACAATGTATTTTTATCATGAAAAAAGAAGAAATTTTACCAAGCATTCGGCGATTTCATTCCATATCAATTATCTCATGTAATGTCAAACTCTTAAACATTACACTGACTCATTTAGTAATGGGGATGAACTATTATCCGGTATTTGACATACTCTTTAATAAATATGTGAAACTTTCATGTGGAATGTAAATATGTGCATATTTCTAAAACTCTACAAACAGCTCCCTGAACTTGTGCGTATATATATTAATAATATACCTGCTCATCTGGAAGCATGTTCCTGTAAAACAAAGAATAATATTATTAGTTTTTACATTTGATACCCACCTCGTTAGCTATTGATATCTGTAATAATAATAAAGGTGCCATGCGACAATGGTAATGTTGAACGCTTCAATTACATTAAAGAACAATGGAGATCTAATCGTATATTTGTGACATCGGATTCCTGGTATATAATATCATGACATTACGGATCATCAATGACAATGATGTGAAATTATATGACATTGATCTTTTATAATCAGCTAGAATTCAACAGTATTATATACCAAAGCTGTGTTTTCTTCTTTACATTTTACATGACAATTTATATATATAGTCAGTGTCAATTTGCGAGTAACATCTTGCATACAGATGTACCCCAGTAAAATTGAAAACTCTTTTTACTTCTCTTTTATCATTTATTTTGTAATTATATTACTTGGTCTGAAATCATTGGAACATATATCCAAAGTTTTAAGTCTGAGATCACTGGCACATGTATACACAGTTATTATTATGAAATCATTAGAACATGTTTTCCCAGTTTCAACAGTTATTACACTGATATCATTAGAACGTGTTTTAACAGTTCTCAGTCTGAGGTCATGGAGTCGTGTATCAACTTTTTTAACCTCAAGATAATTGTAACGTGTATTCCGTTTTAACTTTTAGATCATTTGATCACATTTTCACAGCCCTTCTCTGTGTTGATTCCAGCGTATATCAACAGTTTTAACTTTAAGATCATTGTAACGTGTAAAAGCATCAAGAGTCCAAATGTTTGTAAATTTCCGTTTATTCAATGAAAACTCAAATCTTGTTGTTATGAGTAAAAATGTTGCCAAGGTTACAAATCACGTGTCTGAACTAATATGTAACATTTAATCCACATTGGGCATATATACTATCTCAAAATATGCAAAATAATTACTTACCAGTATGCAACGTGATATAATTTTTGTGATAAAATTTTGTCATATTTAAAACTTCAAGTTATACATTAAAGCTTTTACATGCATTGTGAATATTTATATATTTCTTATGATACAAATACATTTTCTTCTCATGTTTAATTTTACTCATCTGGTGGCATGCTGCTTTAAGTCTAGTAATTGTGAATGAAGCTTTGACAAAATAAGGATTTCGTTTTGTTTCGTTTATTGATATTTGAAAAAATTGAAACTATCCTTTTAATAAGTTGTATCTTTAATGACAATGTTTGATACAACAACTAATTACACAGAAACACTATGACAAATGAAGTTGTAACTTGAGATGGTAACTAG